TACAGTGTCAGCATATTGCCCCCAACAATCCGGGTCCTCATTTTACCCACCTCGGAAGGATGGAAGGCTGAGTCAACCTTGAGTCTGGTGGGATTTGAACAGCTGAACTGCAGAACTGCAGTCAGCTGAAGTAGCCTGCAGTGCTGCACTCTAACCACTGCGCCACCTCGGCTCATAAGGATACTACCACGTTAAGCTTCATTCCTACATAATGAGTTGGAAGCACTTTTCAGCAAGTCAATCCACAGGCATTGCCAGTTACAATTATATTTAAATGTCTGTCCTTACTACCATAATAACATTTCCTTCAATTTATAAAAGACATGCTCAATTCTTATTCCCATTTGTTTGGAGCTCTCTTAAAACCAATCCGAAATAACCAAATTAATTGAGGAAAAATAACACGTTGCTATTTCTAGTCTTCTAGAAACAATAAGCATTAGGTGAATTTTTCAGTGATGGCTGAAAAATTATTTGAATTAGTCCCACACCATTCAAGTCCCATTCAATTGTGATTTTTTTTCTTTCTGTGGATATTTCTGAAATAAAGGAGAAGCTTTTAAAATTTTACCAGCTGCATACAAAGAGGAAAAGTAACTTTTATAAACTTTGCATGACAAACTCTCACTTTCAGTATTTTCTCTTCTATACATCTATTGTCTGTAGGCTCCCTGTGCTGTTTTGCATCTGGAAAGGATAAAGAGACTAGCTGGAAGGTGCAGTTCTTTTTTTTAAAAAAATCATGTCCACCTTAAAGCACTGGGGCTGTTCCACCTTAAAAGTATTAACCCTGAGCTACAGCCCAACCCTTTGCCTGATGCTGATGCTGCCGATTCCTGCAGCAGGAGGAGGGGGATACAGGCACTGCAAGTAGCATCCCAGGGTACCACAGGCACGGAAGACTTACCAGCCCAGCTGAGAGAGCCAACTGCTCTGCTGCTGTGGGGTGACAATCTAGGAAAGACTTCCTCTTTGTGATCCTTCCTTCGAGAGTGCCTGCGTGCAACCTGCTTTTGCCTGTCTCTCATTTTGCTTGGGAATTGTATCTCCTGCTGCTCTTCGCTCCTTCTAGCTACAAAAGCTGCACACCAGGACAAAGCCCCATTGCCCAGCCAGCATGACTACCGAACTCAATGAATGCAGCATCAAGGTGCTCTGTAGGTTCCGGCCCTTGAATCAGTCGGAGATCATACGGGGAGATAAATTCATCCCGGTTTTCCAGGGCGATGACACAGTCATCATTGGGGTAAGCAAATACTGGAGGTGAGAGAAATACGTACATCTGTCTGGAAATGCTTCAGAAATGAAAGGCTCTCTCATTTCTTGATCCTCTTAGCAAGGCCTGTTCTGGATGGCAGATTGCCCTTGGGTACAAGAGCCAGTTGCTCTTAAAACCAGCTGAATTTACACACTTAAATTCAGCTCTTTTGTGTGCTAGAGAGCCATCCAGGTGGAATATTTTATATCTTCCTGCTAGCTTAAAAGATATCAGCATTAAACAAAGGTGCATCTTCATCTGTCCAAGGGAAAATTGATAATGGTAGGAAGATGCTTTGAGGTTTTTATTTGTGTTTGCATCCTTGAAGCCACTGGGTGTGGCTACTAGCTATTGGTTTTTCCTGGGGGAAAAAATAAAGGAACCTCTTAGAATTAGATGGAAAACAAAACCAAAATTCATAGCAAATGCAATGGTGGTTTCTCTCCGTCAAATTTCTTTGCAAGTCCTGTATTTTCTTCTCTTTCCGAACCTTAAAATTATTATGTCAGTTCAACTTTAAATTATACTGCTCTTTCTCCTCCACATCCCTATCTACAGAGTATTCGCTCAAAGATGAAAAGTTGATATCTAATTTGATTTGCCAACATTAGCAATTTGTGATTTTTCTGGCAATTGCCACTGCATCCTATCCATCTCCATAATACTCCATGTTCAGTTCCATTCATAAGTATAAGAATACAAATTATGCAGGTGCTTCCTAAATAGTCTGCAGATTGTTTACACATGTCTTGACAACGCCCCTGAAGCTTGTCCTTGGGGTCTCTGTGTTTGTTTCTTTTTATTATAATTCTGGGTTTTTGTTCCTTATTGTTTGGCTATTTCGGGAGCTAAATATACCCTCTAAGGGGAGGAATCATGACTGATTTTGCTTGGAGTAGAAACAAATATGCTGTTACCATGCTGAACAATTATGTTTAAACCCCCCACTCTCATAACCACAATGCCGCAAGCCATTATTTTATACGTAGCTGATTAGAATTGTGGGACTAAAGAGTGTGTATATTCAAGAAGTAGCTAGTTGTCACTTTGCAGCCAGCCAGCAGATGAATAATCTATGTCAACAATCTTTAAACTATAACTTAGTTCATCCACTGGCCACAACTGATAGCTATTAAATTTTAATTAATCTGGTTCCACCCAAGGTGACCCAGTTTCTCATGGTGTATGGGAGGATTCAAACTCCGAAATAGTCTACTTACTGCACATGAATTTATGCTTCCAGGGTCTCTCCTATTCCCTTGCAGCAGAGAAAGTTATCAATCAGCATGGCCTGACTGCTTTCCTATTGCACTGGCAAATTAAGGCCTGTGATCGCCAATTTATTTTCCACTTGGATGTCAAATTGTTTTCTCTTGCCTTGGCTTGGAAAAGGCTGGCATGTAAAAAAAAGCCTTTTTGATTTGGTCCTGCTGCACTGCAAAGTCATTCCAGTTGGTGGGTTCAGCAGAGATTTTCAGTGGAGCTCCTGAACACGATGGACCTGTGTTCACAATTCGTGTTGTTTCATTCTTTATAAAGCCTGTACTACAGTTGTCTGTTCATTTTGAACTACAGTCAAACTATTCGAAATTGCTTAAGCTCTAACCCAGTTATCACCAGATCAGTTAAGACTGGCTTATTAAAAGATGGATTCATTTGGGCAGTTGAAGTTGGGTAGGGTTTTTTCCCGCCCTTTCCTAAAAGACAACACCATACTTCTTCCTTTGGAAGAAAACCACATGAATTTCACTGCAGAGAGAGCAGGCAGCAGGATGCCTGGGCTCAGTTGCTGGGTCATCACTCAGAGCAATGACTAGGAGCCTTCCTTCCTAGGTACCACTCCCTTCCTTTGTGTTCAGCTCTAGGCCACTCCTGGATCCAATTCTAGGTTACATCCTCATTTTGATGCTGCCATCATCTTGCTCTTCTGCCCTTTACTGCTCTTTCCAGTTGTGATTGCACATGGCATCCAAAGGTTTTTTTTGGGGGGGGGGTCTCCTTTGCCTGGGCAACAGGTAAAGCCACTGATTTTGCAATCAGTATCTATCCACTCCAGGACATTTGGAATGAGCAATAGTGATGATGTATTTATTATTTGATTTGCTGGTTTTTTCCCCATTGATGCCGAAACAATTTCCAGCTGGAAAGAGCTTATGTTAATAATTGATTTTGTTACACATCAAGGAAATCAAGTCTGTTTATCTGTAGCTATTTTTCTCCTGAAATACTCTGGGAAAATTATTCTCATATCTTTTATAATCCTCTAGTCCTGGTAAAAATGGTTAAAACTCTGCTGCTTTTGAACATGTTCTAAGGAGCCTTCATGACTATATACCTTTTTTTTGCTATTATTATATCTCGCTATAAAATAGAAATAAACGGTGTGCAATGCATGAACCTTCTTTCTGAAACACAAATATTTTCCAGAAATCGTATTGTAAAATAAAAGCAACTGATCACCACAAAATGGTGAAAGTATTATTCTCTATTATTCAATAGATGTAAAACAAACCCCATGTCATGCTTTGCTGTGTACCAATACAACCTAGATCTAAAAAATAAATAAATCTAAAGATAGCTAACCACACCAACCCCTCCCCTTGACAACATCACTTTACTATATGAACCATTTCATCAGTTCAGTCCCACAGAAAAAAGGAAAAATTAAGGATAGCTTTGCTGTTGTGGCCTGCCAGCAGCCAGGGAAGCTGGCAGCAGAGTCAGACAGTGAGAAGGTTGGGGAGGAGCATGGGCCAAACCTGGAGGCTGGGGAAGGCTCAGACGAGGGCTGTGCATTGGAGGCAGAAACAGGGCTGAGGCCATCTGGCAGTGATCAGGTGCCTATGGAGCTAGATAACAGTGAGGCAGAGGAACAGCTGGAGCCTGTTCCCAGAATTCCAATGTACAGAGCTGCCAGAAGAAAATAACAACTCAGAAATCAGGGTAATCTTGGGAGTAACGTCACAGGTGGAAGGTGAATGGCCCCTCCCATAGGAAATAGAAGAGGAGTGAAAGGGGAGTGGGCTTTTGCAGGAAACAATACATTTGTTTGGTCGTTAGATTCATTTCAGGAGTGTGAAGATCTGTCTGTGAATCTCAGAGACTCTGTGCCCAGTCTTCCCTTGCACAGCACCTCATTTGGAAAATATTTGTATGGCCGCTTTCCAAGATAGATAAGGTCTGTAGTCATACATATTCCTTTGAAAGACTGTTTGCCAGGCCTTGCTGAATGTGAATGAGAGGAATTAACATTTGGTTAATAAAAGGAGTTTTGTGAGGACCAGAGCTCTGCCTGGTGCTTTTTGGGGAAGCCTAGGTCAGAACACTTGCATCATTGAAAAATGTCTTGATACCGTTGTAAAAGACTAGGCTGCAACATGTACATAAGTTTCTCTATCCTGGTTAATATCCAGTTGAGGCAAATTCTAAACCTATCATCTTCTTCATCATCATAAATAATGGAAGAGCTGGTTGGGGTGATATTGAAAACAACTGGAGACTGTTTGTTTGTTTGTTTGTTTGTTTGTTTATTATATTTATATGCTGCCCTTT